GTCAAAAACTGATTTTAAGGCAACCTTCCCCTGCAAAAGATTTGTAGAATATATTGCAACATAATAAGAAATGAGAAACTCTCCAGGCACTATTAACACTGAAATAAATCTACAGAAGTGGAAGTAGCAAGGTAATTACAATATGGGATAGATCATAATAGATATTTCTCATTTATTCACTATCAGAAGTGAATTTTACCTGAATCAATCTAGTATATACTATTTACTAAATAAAGTTACACTGACACAAACATTTGAGTCACTGATTTAATTTCATACAAGTCAAACTACACATTGTATAAAGATTATAAGATTGTACTAGTATTGTTTTACTAAACTTATCGATTACATGTAAGCTTGGTGATTGGATTTCACCCCACACATACTTATTTTAGATAACTGGAGCCCTAATCCTAACAGTTTAGAATTTTTCACTAATCAAACTGCTTCCAGTAGTAAAAAACTAGGAAAAAAATTACCCCTTCTAACTGTAGCCATCCATGTCTTCAAAATCTGAGAAAAGGATGTGATGTACTACAGCAGAAGGGAAAGAACAAATGTATTACTTGAGTGGATTTCTGCTTGTAGAAGAGGGAGGGAGTAATACCGGGTTCCAAACTGTTATCAAATTTAGACCATGTAATTTTTTTTTTTTCCAGAAAAAGAGTAACTGCAAAATTAATGAATAAACTGGGAATTGTTATCTGGCACCTGAAATTCTTATTCAATGGAGTAAACACTTATTAGTTTTAAGGTGTTAGGCAAAACTATACCATGCATAGTTAGAGATAATCATTTTTATTAAGTGATATTGCCTCAACACAATGAAAAAAAAACGGGTTACTTTTGGCAACTTATGGTACAGCACAATGAAATATTCCAATTTATACTCAAGGATTAGCATTGCAAGCATCTCTGATTTGTTCAATACAGCTCTTCTATGCTTTTAGAAGAAAGCCTTAATTCATAAAACTAACCTCCATAATTATAAAATAATGAAATATTTAGGGAATATTACCATTTCCAAAATCTTCACAAAGTTGTATATAAAACCCCTTTTCCACTCCCCAGCATATTACTTCATCTGTGGCTCTAATAAAAAAAAAACCTGTCTTAATTTCTATCCCCAAAAGAAAAACTTTTTTACTGATATTCCTGTACACATCTCAGAAAGTTTTAAGTACTTCAAATCTTTTGTCTTGTTTACTTGGTGAACAAGACAATTTCTTTCTGAAATTAAACAGATAACCAAATACTAATATTAAAAAAAGACTTCTCGCTGCCCATACAATGTTCCATAATCGCATAATAGCTCCAATCTTAATCTTGTGAACTGGATCTTGACCGCGAACGGGATTTTGAACGTGACTGTGAATGGGATCGTGACACAGCTCTTTTGGATGGAGACTCAGAATGAGCCTTTGCAGGTTGATGCTGCATTGGAGAACGGGAATGAGATCTGCTTTGTGACCTTGATTTAGACTTTGCTTCTCCTTTTCCATTTTCTTTAGGTGAACGAGACACAGACCTGGATCTGCTCCGAGATTTTTCTTTGGATCTGCTGCCTGATCGTGAACCTCTGCTAGATTTCAGTTTTGACTTGCTCTTTGATCTAGATTTTCGACTTTTTGATCTGGAACGTGATCGGTCTTTACTCCGAGACCTAGATTTAGAGCTAAAAAAAACCACTTAAATTATGCTTATTTTAAAAAAGTATTATTAAATATATCAAATATACTGTTAATGGTAAAACACCTATTATAAAACATGCCCTCACCGTGATCGGCTTTTTGAGGCACTACGGGATCTACTCCGGCTGCTGCGACGACTTCGACTGCGTGATCGCCTTCTAGAACGAGATCTAAAAAAAGAGTATATTACAAATAAGCATTGTAATGCATGTGAGGGAATCAATTTTTTTCTTCATTATACAGTGTAAATACATATCTTTTCCAATAGTATTATAAACACACAAAATGTATTAATCATCAAAATGTCTTATTACACAGATGAATAGCATTCCAGTCAAAAGCTTGTAAATAAATTATGCAAGGCAAATTTTTAGTAAAACTTATTTCCTGAACAAAATTCTAGTGTATCTGATGCATTGGAAACAAGAGAAAGACTACACCAGTGGTTTTAAAACAACAAAATGTATAGTTTAATCCTGAAGGATCTTTCATATCAAGTAAAAACCAGTTTTATAAATACCTTGATCTACTGCCGGAGTAAGATCGTCTATGGCTTGATCGTGGTTTATCTTCAACTAGCCTGATTTTTCGTCCATTTATCTCTGTGCCATCCAATTTATCCAAAGCACGCTTCATGTCAGAGTAAGAACGGAATTCTATTACTCCTTCATTTGTCCGCTCTTTATGGGCATCTGCATAGGTTACCTCACCAGCTTGCCTCATGAAATCCTTAAATAAATGAAATCTTTATTTAGCCAAAATTTAAGCTTCAGTGAACTCAAATAAACTTTCTTGTATTTTACAAGATGTACCAAAAATGACAAGTAAAATTGGCTTTTTAGAAAATATTTGTATATTAACTTACTTTCAAATCTTGCCAACTACAGTGACTGGAAAGGTTTTCAACAATTAATCTGTATTCTGTACGAACAGGTGGCCCATATTTATCTCTTCCTGATGCTCTCCGACTGCTATATCCTCCACCACCTTCATCATACAAAGATAAGAAAGTTACTGACCTTATAAGAAAAGCAAATACATTAGTTCACTCTAGTCTATAAATTGTATTTACAGGAGTAGGACTTTATTTTTCTAATCCTCCACAAAATTTTAATTCGCCGTATTTTATATATTAAAGGCAAATCAAAGTCTAAAATCCTACAAGACTGTGCTCCTAAACTCTGTTAGAGAGTGACTGCACCTTTATTAGATTTACCTTGCTAAGTTTTATTTTACAGAACATTGTAAAATATAAAACTTAACTGATTACATGCATTTCTACATTTACAAAAACGTTTACTAGTTTACACTAAGTACTTACATCACAGTATGAGGTATATGGTGGTGGTTTGGCCACAACACACGCAAGGTAACAGTCACCTAGTTCAGTTTAACCAGTTTTGTCTAACCCTTGGAATCCTCACCATCACCCTGCGTCTAATGGCAAAAGGCTGCTGTCATCATGGCTTCCGGTAAGGTCAGCCAAAGGGTCATAGGGCAAGGGTCACACAATGTATGGAAAAGCCATGGCCAATCAGGAAAGGCAGTCATCTTAGCCTCAGTGGACACAGCCTCAGCCCCACTGGTCACTTTTAAATTGAAACATCAAGGACTTGTTAAAAAATTTGAATTGAACATGCAACAACTTCAAAAAAACATACAAATTGCAAGAAATTCCACCTCCCCAACATGCCCCGAAACCAAAATAGGTCTACCTTACTGCTCTTAACCATTATACAAAATTCTATCAAATGCATCCATTTTTTTTTGTAGGAAAGATCAAATTAAATGGGTGTTGCATTAGTTATTTTGTCTCCAAATTAACATGGCCGCCTTCTATGAAAGCATACCCTCTCTTCTAATTTCTAAGCAAATATTCATATTAAGGCATAAGCTAATTTGTTAACAGCTGTGACCACTTTAAGTGACAGCTTTACATGGTGGGAAACCTCCCATTTGCTTTCCTGCTTCTTTGGAAGCTTTATGCCAAATGTGTTTTAAATTAAGAGCAGTGAGTGAGTATTGTATATAGAACTCCCAATATGCCCCCCTCCCTCCTGTGGTTCTGCACTTATGAGTGCCATTTGCACCGAGAATGCCCAAACCCCGTCAAGAAAACGTCAGCTTTAAATCCAGAGGGGGAATGTAGCCTCCCTTCGGACAACAGGGATTGTTAACCATCCACCCTTCCAAATTAAGGTCCAAGGAATCCTCCTCTATCAGGTCACCTCCCCCGTTCAGGGCCACCCATTCGCCCCACTTGCGCTCCTCTTCCCCGGCAACCCATGGCTTGTCCCCGCGCGCCTAAGGAGGCCGCAACGGAACCATACTCACTGCGGCTGCTGTAGCTGTAGCCATCCCGGTCGCGGCGGGGGCCGCGGGCGTGCTCGACGACGACCCGCTCCCCGCACAGATCCTTGCCGTTCAGCTCGTAAACGGCATCCTCGGCATCCCGGGAATCCTCGAATTCCACAAAGCCGTAGCTGCAGGAAAGGAGGGGCGTGGCGGAAAGAAAAGAGGAGAGAAGGCGCCATCAGGCCACGGAGATCGACCGCCACGTTTCAGGGCTTCCCTCCCACTGCCCCGCAAGGGACGCCCGCGATTCGGCCGGAGAGAATCTACGCCCTCGCCTGGTGCTATCGCGGAGTGTGTACGTGGAAAGGGTGCCTATGCACGACTGCGATAAGGATACGCTCTACAACACCACCCCCGTAACGGGACAAATGAGACGAAGCTGTGTTTGGCCGCCATTTTGAACGCGAAGCCACGCGGCCCGAGAGGAGGCAATGGCAGGCCTGCCGCGGTCAGGCCATCTTTTACCAGTGTCTCGCGCCAAATACTAATCCTCCAGCCTCCAAAGAACCCGCTAGGCCTTACTTCCCCTTGCCCCTTCCTCACCCGTTTTTTAAATCGACCTCGAGCAAGCGGCCGTAGCCGCTGAAGAAACGCTGGATGTCTTTTTCCCGCACATGGTAACTTAAGCGGCCAATATAGACACGCGGCATCCCCGCGACCTAGAAAAGGAGAGAGGAGGGGAAGGGGAGGGGGGAAAGGATAGATGTAAGAGCCGAAAGCAGTTGCGGAACAATGGTCCTAAGAACCACTGGTAGTTACGGCCTATCCCGTAGCGTAATGAAAGCCGGCCCCCGGGCAAGCCTTTATATTAGTGGGCGGAGTCTGGATGACTGTACGCCACTATTAGCGTCTTTCGGGACGTCACTGGGGACCTCGAAATCTGATAGGAAGGGAGGAATGTCAAGAAACTGCGTGCGTACAACGTGTCCCGCCCTCTTCTAAAGCGTTTCCGACTTGGGGCGCACTTAGCGTCAGGTATAATTAAGCATAATTTGAAAAACGAGGCTTGTTGAATCAGCTATACTTGCTGGGGTCGTATTAATTCGGCCTCTAGATTTAAGCTTGGTCGGTGACTTTGAGACAGTCATACTTTTTCAACTCGCATTTCCATCTAATTGTACACGTTACAAACAAATGTTGCAAAAACTCTCAACCTGTCAAGATGCAAACCCCGGCCTCTCATGATTACTGTGAATCTACATCGCATTGGAGGAGAAGGGAATGTTATATACGTGAGCTTCTGCAGGGAAGGTGGGAAATTTACCTTAAATATATTAGCAATGTATTTTTCACAACCTGCTAAGCTAACGTCAAGCAACCTATTTTATTTATTTAAAACAGCTGCCTATCTTCTAATCAACTCAGGGAGGCTTTCAATCAAAAGTTAAAACAACATATAAAACCATATTAAAACTAAACACTAAAACATTAAAATGTTAATATTTTGCATGATATAGATGGCTAGTGATAAATATACATCAATATTATAAATCTTCAAGTCAGTTAAAACCTACAATACAATGGAAACTAATTGAATAAGAAAAATACAGATGGTGAGAGTCAGAAAGACATTAAGGAAGTAAGATAACCATATAGGCAAAAATAGCTGGGTCTGAGAAAGGGAGAGGGAAGTAATAAAATAGATAAATAGTTGTTTTTAAGGAAATGGCTAGCCAGAAAGTATAGGAAAGCAGGAAACCATGCCAAATAAGATAAGAAGAGAGAAATGGAGAACAGGAAAAGAACTTATTGTTTAAAATGGAGACATAAATATATATATCTGAGTTTAAAATAACCATAAGAAAATAATTTTCCTTATTGTATATGTGAATATGATTTAGTATGTTATCAGGAAATGTGTATAGGCAGACGGAAAGAGTGTAACCTCATACTACCTCAGCCAATGGGGAAAGAGGAGGGCTGTAGCGGCCGGTGATAGGGATGAATAAAAGAAGGAGATATTTTGGGTTAAAACTTTGGAGAGAACCAAGCTTTGATAGCTTCTCTCCCCGCTTATTGCAATAAATGAAACAAAGGGCCTTCACTGTGTCTTGGCTGGTTATTGGTCAGGCGAGCTTGCCTCTGGTCACAAAGGAAAGTAGCCAGGAGCACATAACACTAGCCATATGTATAAGGCCACCAAACTGCCCGTTTTGCATGCTGTATGAGGCCCTTGGTATTATATTGTGTGTGTGTGTTTGTGTGCATGCATGCATGCCTTCAAGACAATCTTGACTTCTGATGACTAGTCCAGGTAGTTTTCTCAAGCAGAATTTTAATAAGTTGTTTGCCACTGACTTGTTTCCAGAACTGAAAGAGAATGACTACAGTAATTCATATTCACCCAGCTGGCTTTATGCCTAAGGCAGGACTAGAATTCACAGTCTCTGGTTTTTTAGACTGTTCTGTTTGACTTACTACTTTCCAAAATTTTTCTTCATTACCCTAAAACACTTACCAGAAAGTCTATTTTGCTCAGTGTAGATAAAATATTAGCTGGACAGAAAAACATACAGGTTGTTGTGTTTTTACCCAAAGAAAAACTATTTTTACCCAATTTTGTGTAATTTGCCCAGATTTGATTACTACACTAAACTAGTTCTCATACTTTATATTCCTCTATATTATAAGAGGGGGAAAAGGAAATATCATTCTTTATAATATAATATTCTTCATGGAAAGAAGACAGTGGCAACTAAAATCTAAGCCTTGGACTTCTCTCTAGGCCTTCTACTTAATTATAACATAATATTCTTCATGGAAACAGGCTGTGGCAACTAAAATCTAAGCCTTGGACTTCTCTCTTAATTTGGGCCTTCTACTTAATTTGGGACATGATCAGGCCAAAGCACTTATTAAACAGCATGTAGCAAACTCAGTGCACCAATTGCTTCTAGCCAGAACCCCTTTATTGCCAGTGACTCCAACAGGCACTCTACTTCCCTATGGCAGCGGTTCTCAACGTTTGTGTGACGGCGACCCCTGTCACACGGACGCGCCGTGCATGCGTGGCCCCGCCCCATGCACGGCGCGCATGCGCGGCTCTGCCCCCATGCGCAGTGCGCATGCGCGGCCCCGCCCCCTGAGGAGGAAAAATGGCGGATCGCGTTGTTTGGCGACCCCCGTAAAATGGTCGTTCGACCCCAAATGGGGTCGCGACCCATAGGTTGAGAACCGCTGCCCTATGGCATATTAACAAAACTCAAAGTTCTCATACATTGGAGGGCCTTTACTCTGGCATTATGTCATGCCCTTTCCTCACTTGTCCTTGAAGGCTCCTTCAGGAAGATCTCCTATCTGAAGAGATAATGCTCCTATGACTCTGGACGCATAGAAATTATAGACTATGTACTTCTCCAGTACTTACACTACAGAGACATTTGCATTAGCCTCATCACCATTGTTGCATAAACACTCAGGTTGCATGGATAATTCTATATCTGCTTTCAGATACCAACCCTGCTACAATGTAACAGTGTTCCCATGTTCTGCTACTATGACCTGAACCATAAACTAGTTTTACTGAATCTAGTCAAACTTAGAGCATCTATTTTGCCATTACTAGTGTGCTCTGTACAGTAATTTGATACAGTCTTCCACATATAACCTTTATGCTTACCTACACCATCTAGTGCAGTGTTTCTCAACCTTGGCAACTTTACGATATGTGGACTTCAGCTCCCAAAATTCTGGGAGTTGAAGTCCACACATCGTAAAGTTGCCAAGGTTGAGAAACACTGATCTAGTGCTTCTACACTCCTTTTAGTTTCTTTTAGAGTTTTTACACACACACACACTTTTTGTGTTAGTATATATTTATATCTTCTAGTTTTCATAATATTTTCAGACTCTGATGTCTAAAATTATGCCTAAAAGGATAAGCATATCTCCTTATGCTGATCTATAACTTTAAAAAAATTTGACTTGATTTGTTGAATTTGGATCTTTCTATATTAACCTCCCCCCGAAGTTATGACTTTTACATGGAATATAATCCATATGCAATTTCCCTTGTTTTTCCATTATTATGTCTTCTCTACTTACTAGAAAAAATATTTTTGGAAGTTAAATAAATGCTGCTAAGGTATGCTACCCAGCAGATTTCTTTCCCAAGCAATTCAATCTTTTCTTTATACAATAGCACACAGACTGTAATTTGTAGGATCCAATCTGGCTCGATCACCAGGACCAGCATTTTGTCTTCGAGCGTTTGAACTCGTACTGGAGCCCATCTTCAGGGAACTTCCCTCTAGCAGAGTGTGTACTTTGGGCTGTTTTGTATGTGGTGTTTATATGGTGCCTGTTGTATGTGGCTTTTTAGATGTTGATTGGGTGTTGATGGCTGGCTACCGTGTTTCCCCCAAAATAAGAACTGGTCTTTTTTTTTTGCCTTCAAAAGAGGCATTAGGTTTTATTTTGGGGGGGGGGGTGTCTTATTTTTCCCACTGTCTCAGCTCGTGGCAGCACCAACAGCCCCATTCAGCAGTAGCCCGCACAGCTGCCGACGGCCCTCTTCTTCTGCGGCTGCTCACTGCTGCTTGCACATGTCGCCTCCGGCCTCCGTTTCGCCAGAAGAGTCTTCAGGAAAGGCCTCTGCAGCTGAGAATGAAGCCCCAGGTTGACATGCAGTTCACACACACCCCGGTCTCCGTTTTGCTGGCAGAGGCCTTTTCCTGAAAAGCTGGTTGTAAATCAGCACTCCTGTTGATTGACGAGGAGCCCGTTTCCAGGCTTCAATCACTTCCCTGGCTGTTATTGTGCCTTCTCATCCAACAATCTTAGTTGCAAAATTAAATATGAACAGTCAGACACGGAGATCCAAACTCATTGGTAGCTTCACACTGCAATGAACAAGGATATACATTTAATTTTGCAACTAATATTGAACGATCTTAGGGGGTGGAGCTGCCCCACATGTCCCGCACCCACTTACCGCAGGGCCCCCACAGCCAGGCCTCAGATGCTCCAACATCTGCCTTATGGCGAGGGTACCAACAGCCCCGTCTAGCAGGAGCCTGCGTGGCCGCTATCGGCCCACTTCTGCAGCCCCTCGGGCTTGTTGTCCCCAGCCTCATCTGACTGCTTGCTTGTGTTTTTGCAATCTAATGGATAGCTTCCTCCCCATCTAACCCACATGGCCCCTGTGACTATGTAGGACAAAATGGGAGGAAGCTAACTACCAGATTGCAAGAACACAAGGGAATGGTCAGACAAGGAGACCCAAACTCATTGGTGGCTTCACACTGCAATGAACAAGGATATACATTTAATTTTTAAGCTACTAAGAAATACTTAGTAGTGAAATTGAATATATGTCCTTGTTCATTGCAGTATGAAGCTACCAATGAGTTTGGGTCTCCTTGTCTGATCGTTCATTTGTGTTCTTGCAATTTGGTGGTTAGCTTCCTCCCAGTCTGTCCTACATAGTCACAGGGGCTATGTAGGACAGATGGGAAGGAAGCTAGCCATTAGATTGCAAAAACACAAGAAAGCGGTCAGACGAGGAGACTCAAACTCATTGGTAGCTTCATACTGCAATGAACAAGAACATACATTTAATTTTGCAGCTACTAAGAAATATTTTTAATTCCAAGTGAATTAAATGCCTATTTTTGGGAACAGATGAAAAAGAGTATTTAGTAGGTGTGATTGGATAGTCCATTTTACCTTCCACATTCCACGTTATCCTTTGAATTTACTGATCAATTATTCATCTTCAGAAAGATCCGCAGGTCTATATGTTGAACGTCAGAACAAATTAATTCTCTTCAAATAATATATTCTGCTCAGCCAAACATAAAACTGGTAAGGAATTTCTGGAAGCTTGGCATTCAGACAAATGAACCATCAATAGACACACAAAGATACCCATTTACATGCCTTTCAAAAGAGACAATAAATAATGGAGAAGAAACCAAGCATTCAGATGATCATAGAACGACACTGGACAAACAAGCAGGCAGAAAACAATACTCTAAGCAAGGAACCATAAAAGAGGGAACGTTCCCACCCCCCAAAAAAACCTGGCAGGGCAAGCTACTGTATATAAGGAGGCAGCCCAATCCACACTCATTTGCACTGATGATGGTACCTACTTGGGTAATGAAAGACTTCAAGCAAGCAACCAAGTTAACAGGGCAACTAAAAACTCCACAAATCATAATCTGTTAGGCAAAAATTCATGATCTGATAACTTACTGAACTTTTTATTGTCTGAGTAGTAAAAAATATTTTCTCTAATTTGCCTCTTTTGCCAAGAATTGGTTATATATTATTGGTAATGTTTATCACATTAAAAAAATCTTCATAAAACTATTTATTTCTTGCCAGAATTTGCCAGCTTTGAAAATACCCCTATTCATAAGAAAACATTAAGTTGTAAGTATAACATCACTGAGTACCCTTTATTTATTAAACTTCTACTGTTTAACAAGAGTAATTGCTAAAATAAATGAGCATGTATTTTGACTATTTGGAAATTTGCTTTTGAACTCTCAATACCTTTTTTCTTAATATTGGCCTTGTTTGTGATTAAATAGGTTTATATTAGAATTCCACCATCCATTATTTATTGCCTTAGACGATCCTTGGTTCTGTTTGTGTCTCTGTGTGTATGTCTGTGATCTTTTTCATGTATAGAAATCTTGAAGTGGTGCTTTGTTCAGGCCTTGCTATCTGAATCCCCTCCAACATTGTCTGAGAATATTTTAAGCTGGGACTTGATTATTTTTGGGTTTATTTATTTTTAGTTAATTAATTCGTTATCACATTTATGTAGCCAGCCATCTCACTAAAAGCAATTTTGGGCAGTGCACATAAAACATTTCTCACTAGTTTACAAATATCTCATTTTTCTATCCAGACACAATTTAAACTGCTAGTGCTAACCTGTAAAACCTTTGTATTGCCTGAATATTGAGGTCTTTGAAGGTATTTATTGGAATGCCTCACTGTGGTGATCTAGATCAGGGAAGTCAAACTGCTGGCCCGTGGGCCGGTTACATCATACAGAGGCCGCGCCTACCACAGCTCGGGCAATGCAAAAAAAGTCACAATACGTTGTGACATGTCACATGATGTGGCGAGTTTGACACCCATGATCCAGATGATTTAGTTGAAGTTTCTATGGACAAAACAGTCCTTATAAAGGCAGCTTTATTAGTGGAACTGCATCTCCAAGGAAATGCACCCAATTCTGGCTACATTCTCAAGATGCTAGATCAAAACAGATTTGTTCGTTCTTGCTTTTAAGCAGATAGTGATTTATTTATTTATTTTAATAAGTCAGAAATAGTTGTTGGATTGTGCATAAAAAGGCTAAGAAAATATATAGCAGCATACATTATTTGGATAATTTACTGGTTGCCAGCAGAGAGCACTGCAGCCAACATGTTGAATTCAAGTTAGCATTCTTGATTTCTGTATTGTTGTCCCTTTACAGTTTGATTAATTTTTTTGCTTATTTATCTGATTTTATTAAAATATTTATTATACAGTCTTGATCCATAGTTCTTACATATATGAACACTCAATAAAATCAACCAGGGACAAATTTGACAAGCAGTTAAAAGCCTGATATAAAAAGAATACACTTAGGCAATTAAAATTTGCTCCTGTAAAGCTGAAAAGAAGATAAAGACAGCATCAGACAACTCTCCTTGAAGGCAGACTTGTAGGAATGTGGTACTACAACTAGATAAGCTCTAGATTTATTTGGCACTTATGGTATTTCAGATGATGATAGGACATAAGGAGGATTTCTGAACTTAATCGTATTTATTGGGTTCACAGGAGAGAAGAATGTATGCTATTAATAAGCATTCCATTTATATCTTCATTGATTGTGATTTTTATCTTTGTGAAAACAGATATGGAGTAAATAAATGTCTCTCTTCCTGAGCTTAAGGAGATGTACACTGAATCTGTTCTAGGCTACTGAACTACAACAACATTGTTATTCCATGTGCATTTAGAAAAAGTCCCTTCAGATTGAGATGATCAATAAATCATACAAACAAACAACAAATGAAGCATCTGGGAAACATAATACATCAATCTTATCTTTCCCTTATCAGCCATTTCTCCTGATTTTTTGTTTTCCTTTTCTTTACCCCAAAAATGGATTAAAATAGAGGAGAATATATGTAACTTAGTATTGAACTGTGGAGTTCTTGGATCTCTCTGAGCTTGGTTGTTTGCTTGCAGACATTTCATTATCTGACTAGGTAACATCAGCAGCCCCTGTTAGTGTGAAGATTGCTTCTTGTTTATATACAGTACCTTTTCCTGCCCAAGAAGATCACATGTTTACCAACACTGGCAGGAGAAGTTATTGTATTTAAACAGGGAGCAAACCCCAAACCCAGTAACACTGATGATGTTTCCTAGTTGAGTAATGAAACACCTGCAAGCAAACAACCAAGCTTGGAGAGTACCAAGGACTCCAAACTGGTTATGTAGATGATAAGATCGTCTAGATTACAACATAGAAAAGTAAATTCAGATTTCTTTATTTTCTATTTTTCTCATAACAAAAAAACCTAATGCTTCCTGAATAGTTTTGAGCAAAATAAGTAATTTACATTTTTCATTAGTTTTTCTGATTTTGAGTGAGGGAATATTCCCTATGGCTTTTACTGGATAATTTTGACAACTGTGGTTCTCCTAGGCATGCTGAAACTCTCCTCTTATTTCTTAAAATGCTTTCAGATGCAATTTTTATATAACTTCAAGTGCTACCAGTTAAATTATATTGTGGCAACATTCTACCTTTTCTTTCCTAAATAATTTTCTGGTGAGAAGGAACGCCACAGAAGTTACACAATTCTGTGAATAAGAAAGAGTAACTGTATAATAGAAGCCTCATATGGAGGTCTTCAGTGGCTTGATTGTGGCTCCATGAATGGTCAACTTCTAAACCAGTGATGGCGAACCTTTTAGAGACCGAGTGCCCCAAAACTGCCTCCGCCCCGCCTCACCCACCCACAGGGCCACCCACCGCTTCAATGGCCTGCTGCAGCAGATCACCTAGGTGGCCTAGCAGCACCATGGTGGCCATGCCCTCCACCCTCCGCATCATCTACGTGCGACAGGACACGAGGGCGGAGTCTTGTTAAAGTCTTCCCGGCTGTAATGTCCTTGACTCTGCTGCTCCGTGCGGGCCGCACCCAGGGGCGACTCTCCTCCAGGGGGTTGCTGGTGAGGAGGGGGCTGCGAGGGAGGCAGAGTTGGGGCAACGGTGCGCGTGCCCACAGAAAGGGTTCTGAATGCTGCCTCTGGCACGTGTGCCATAGGTTCTGCACCACTGTTCTAAACTGTTAGAAGTTTAATCCTGTTAAGGATGCAGTTTCAGGTTGATTCCACCAGATGTCCTCTTATTGAAATAAAAGCAAAATAAACTTATTTCATGGATACTTTCAGGAAAGTGCAATTGCCTTATCTTAATCCCAGAATTTTACAGGAGGAATGATAGCAGTCTGAATAGTATTCTCTTTCACTTGTAATTTTCTGGTACTTTAATTTTTTTTATTGTCTCAAATTATTTTTTTAAAGAAATATACATAAGCAGGCTCCCTTGTAATAGTAATAGTAGTAAAGTTGGAAGGGACCTTGGAGGTCATCTAGTCCAACCCCCTACTCAGGAAACTCTACACCATTTTGGACAAATGGCTGTCCAGTCTCTTCTTAAAAACTTCCAGTATTGGAGCATTTACTGCTTCTGGAGGCAGGCTGTTCCACTGATTAATTGTTCTCACTGTCAGGAAGTTTCTCCTTAGTTCTAGGTTGCTTCTCTCCTTGATTAGTTTCCACCCGTTGCTTCTTGTCCTGCCTTCAGGTGCTTTGGAAAATAGCTTAATTCCCTCTTCTTTATGGCAGCCCCTGAGATATTGGAATACTGCTATCATGTCCCCCCTTGTCCTTCTCTTCGTTGTTTTCTTATGATTCTTCTAGTTTGTTTCCTTCTTACAAAACAAAGCCCTAAAAGGGGAAAAAAAAAAACTAGAATACCAAATTAATGAATTTTAGCTGGTAAGGCTGGATCCTGGAAACATGGTTTGCAAGTAACTTAAAGCAGAGATGCTTTTTTAACATAAAATAGCTCTAAATTTTTTTGGTTGGAACAGGTTAATCATGTGTTCATGTTATTATCTAACAGAGGTTCCACCTTGGAGGGCATAGACAAAGAGACAATATCAGTGGTTTATTCCTTCTTTTTCCAAAAGCCTACAGTATGTTGTTGTCTTCAGGAGAAACTCAACTTTGAGGGCAGCTTTTCAGGTTTTCCTCATAGTGAAACTCTATTAAAAATGCTCTGCAACCAATCTATTGTTTGCTAAAAAAAATAATAAAGGAGACTAAGTTGAGTCCAAAAATACAGAGAAGTTTTAGAAGCCTGACACTCTTAACAAATCAGCCATCAATAGACACATAGACTTAACAACATCTATAGACTATGCAAAAGAGACAATCACCCAACCCAAAAAGGAACAAAAAGACCCTAGCACCTTTCCACCAGCAATCAGCATCCAGTAGCATAGATTCACTCCAAGAGTAACGTCAGACCAATAGTCAAGTAAACAATACCCCAATTAAGAAACTGCCAGAGAAGCCAACAGCAAACAGCCCGATCAAAGAATCTCTAAGACCACCCCCACCAACACTGACAGGCAAGCTACTAGAACAGGGGTAGAATTCTGGGAGTTGAAGTCCATGAGTCATAAAAGAGCCAAGGTTGCCTACCCCTGCACTAGAATATAAATTGACAGCAAACTGCACTCCTTACCAGCACTGATGATGTTACCTACTTTGGGTATTGAAACGTCTACAAGAAAACAAGGAAGGTCAGAGAGCACCAAGGACCCCTCGAAACCAAAGAATGCTCCATATTCTGTTTGCTCTTTTCATTTCTCATATTTCTGCCCCAAACACTGTCTTTTCCATTTGCATACTTACTACTTTTATGTTTCCATTTGTCCTTTACTCTATCCAATTCTACTTACCCTTAGTTGCCAGAACTCTGAGGCTTCTTTACGTTCTTGTGATGAACTTCAGAAACTGGGCACTCCTTATGCACGCATGTAAGAGCTGAATGGAGACAGATCTGAAAACCTGGATTCTTTTCCAGACCTATATATTTCAGATCACATATAATTATGCCTACATAGTAATATCTCCTATTACTCTGCATTATTAAAAATAACTATATTTGTGAAATGCTTTCTTAGTGGATTAATACTAAATGTACATTATAAAAGATGCAGAAGGGATAATGTAGGTTCCTTTTTTTAAAAAATAATTTTATTAAGAATTTAACTACAGTAGTAAAAAATAAACAGTAAAAAATCTAATTATTAGAATATAAATTAAACTTAGAGAAA